AAAATAAAAAGTAATAATCACAAAAAAACACAAAAAATTATAAAACATAAATAATTAAAGGCTACCTAGGGGTGGCATTAGCACATGATAGGGGTGCCATTAGCCACCCCCTATATAAAGTTGTTCAATGCACGGAATGATCCGTTAGACTCGTCCTATCCGATCTGCTAGAAAAACGGGTTTGAATTACCATTCTTGAAGAAATGGGCGGGCTTGAACTGACTTGTTAAAATTAATGGGCGGAAATGAAAAATTATTTGGACAAGCTTGCCAAGCCCATTACCATTAATATGTTTATAATAATTAACTTTTATAATTGAAATTTACAAATAAAATTGAAAATTCTTAGAAGATGTTTGGAATTGCCTATAAAAACAAGTTATTGACTTATTCCGGTGTGACATCGGTAATCAGCATTTTTGAGTGTTTGGATAAACAACTTATACCGGTATCAAAACCGGTAATAAGAAGTTTTTGAAGAAGTTAAACCCTTCTGACTTATAATAAGTTGATAAGTGCTTTTGTAAAAAAAAATTTGTTTTAAATAAGCAATCCCAAACACCCCCTTAATACTTATCAATTTCTACTTGATTATAACTCATGATAATAACATTTTGAAAGTATAATTACCTCAATTGATCAATTCCTTACTATCTCATTTAGTCATTTTCTTTATCGATACTTTATATTTAGCGAAACAATTTCTTTCTAACGTGTGTATATTGTTATGTATTTACGTCAAATTTTAAGTTGGAAAAATTGTTATATATTTAAAATTATTTTAAATAACTTGTGATTTGATATAAGTTTGTTTTCATAAAAATATAACAAGATTTTTAATCTTGTTAGCCCATGGCAAGCCCGGCCCGTTTATAGGGGGTATGGGTAAGTTTTTCAAGCCCGTAAAAACGGGTTTGGTTTTACCATATTAGGCTCGTTGAACAAAAAGAATAGGTTAAACGTGGCCGAAGCCCGCAAATGATCAACTCTAATAATATACTATCTCCCAACTGCTTCACAGAGGCAATCGGGAAGTTCGAAAGGTTCTTGTTTTTTATAAGGGAATGCTTGGTGCGCAAGGAAAGAAATTGGAAAACGGAGCTGCTTGCAATAGGGATCGTCGTTGCATTCGTGTTGGTTGATTGATATTGTATCACCCTGAATAAACAAAAGATGGATTAAAATGAAATAAATAGTCAACGACGAGCAAACGGTGGCAAATGAGGGTATAGACGCATGGAACCTTCATCTCACACTAGAGTTCACAGGGTTGAGGCGACCTTGGCACACCCTAGGTCGCATGGAAGTCGTCTGGCTTGTTCCTTCTTCTGATCCGTTATGCAACATCAAATGTAATGTATTATACTAAAGCACTCCACCATGATACACAATCTTCTAGAAAAACGAACAATCGACATCAGCGAATATCAACTCTTCCAACAGTTGATCATAGTAAATTGGCACGAGGTAGTAAAATTGCATTCCAACTGTGACAGCTTCAACATGGTCATCACCCGTCAAAGTTACAAGCAAAAACAAAATAACCTCAGGTGCACAATCTACTAAACAAAATAGAGCATAACACAACTCTAAGCACTTGACGAAATAATCCCTTCAAATATGTCGTTTTTGTCATCTTTGGTAATATTTGGTCTCTGTTGAACAAAGTGTCCAACGACACTAACACAAGCGAAGCTTAATTAAGTTTGAGCAATGCTCAGACTTAGCGCACGGTGGTGATTTTGTGAACATATCAACACCATTATCATCTGTTAAGATTTTCTTCAAATAGACGACGTTTGCTTCATGCAATCTAACAAGATATGCATCACGTACATTAATGTGCTTTGTCTGCAAGTTAAAAGCCAAATTGGTTGCCAAATGGATGACATTCTGACTATAACCGATCTTCATGTTATAACTGGTCCTTAGAACCAGTCCCAATTTTTTTCTTCTAAAAATCGATTTTGAACGTAAAAAGAAATTAGGTTATATTTTATTGAAATACATTTTACAATCTCTAATTGGTTCATTTAAATACAGTTTAAAAAAAATTATTTTTACACAAAAATATTATGGATGTTTTTATATTACGATTTTTGAGTTTTAATATTGGAACATTTACAAAAACTTAAAAAAACATTAAAAAGAACTTGAAACCCTTAAAAAAAATATATTACTTTTTGGTAAAATAGAAAACTTGAAAATCTTACAGAAATATTGGAAACTTGATAGATAATTTATAAAAACTTATTTTTTTTAAATCGAATTTATATATAATCGATCCCGATCCCGATCCCGATCCCATAATTGGGTCGGGTTGTGAACCCATTTTAGCCATCTCTAATTAATATTATTATTATCGTATTTACTAGAAAAGTTGTATTTATTCCATTTTATTAATAATAAAACTTAGATAACTGATATTTTAATAAAATATTGAATTCAATTATTAGTTATTACTTTTTTTTATAACTAGTCAGATACTCGCGCAATACAACGAAATACATTTTTATTTTAATGTTTTGCTTTATTTTTGTCTTTGTTGATATAATATGGTTTATGTGGTTTTGAGAAAAAATAATGTTTTTACTTTTAAATAAAAATAAATTTGAAAAAATATATCGATATTAATATCAAATTAACTATTTAAAAGTTCTCGTTTTTTTTACAATTTTTTAATTCAATTTTTTATTATAATTTAATTTAGATCAAATAGTGAAGTAATATATTTTTGGCTTAACAATAAAAAATTTATAAAAATAATA